GAATTCTGAGCTTTTTAAAGTTATTTAAGAGCATAAGTATACCAAAAAAAGCCCCTAATTTTCATTGTTTCAGTGATTCTACTGCTAGTCCAAAAGAAATGCTTGTTAACTTGAATGAGTAACAAAGCTAAGCTAATGTTAAGCACAAAAATTATGCACAATCCAACATGTACATAAACTAATAGCTGTCTTTGCAGACATTTGGATACTAAAATTAAAATATAAACTAGGCTTTTATGTTAAAGGTCTCAAGTGATAATCATTGTGTTTGCACTTAGTTTAGATGCTTCGGAAAAAAAAGAATAAGCACACCATGATACTTCTCTTCTTTACAAAGTATAACACTTCGTTATTGCTTGTTTGCTGCTTATTTTGCCACAAGAAATTGCAAAGGTCTGTCATTCCCCATGATTGTTCATACAAACAAACAGGGAAGGAAACTTGACCTTGAAAATTTCTGTCTATGAAGAGGTGGTTGAAAAGTTTCCCAGCTGTGTCATATGTATACTTTATTGTTAAATGCCACTGAATGCTCAAAAGCAATTTATTCTCTTTTTTAGTTTGAAAATAGTGAATTTACAGTAGAATTAATAACTACTTTAGGAGATAAACAGGTAGATCTACAGAAATTTATAGAAAATTTAGTAGAGTTTTATACAGAAATTGAAAAAAAATCCAACACATTCTTGTCAGCAGGTAAACCTGTCTCCTCACAATGAGCACAGGCTGGACAGTGCCTGGGGTCTGCATGGTGGCTAATGAGATGCACGAGAACTAATAGCAGAGCTTCTAAAACTGGAAAGCAAGCTTAGCAACTCCAATCTTGCTACTCCTGAGTCAATTTTTTCCCAAAATATGAGTAAAAGACTGTGCTGGTTTTGGCTGGGATAGAGGTAATTTTCTTCACAGTGGCTGTTATGGGTCTGTGCTTTGGATTTGCGCTGAACACAGGGTTGGTACTGTGATGGTTTTATTACTGCTGAGCAGAGCCAAGGCCTTTCCTGCTTTTTGTGCTGCCATGTTGGTGAGGGGGCTGGGGGAGCTCGGGAGGAGATACAGCCAGGACAGGTGACCCCAACTGACCAAAGGGATATTCCAGAACTTATGGCATCGTGCTCAGTATAGAAAGTGGAGGAAGAGGGAGGAAGGGTGGATGTTTGGAGTCATGGTGTTCGTGTTCCCAAGTCACTGTTATGTGGTGGGGCCCTGTTTTCCTTGGGATGGCTGAACACCTGCCTGCCCATGGGAAGCACTGAATCAATTCCTTGTTTTGCTTTGTTTGTGTGTGTGGCTTTTGCTTTCCCTATTATGGTGTCCTTATCTCAACCCATGCAGCTTTTACCCTTCCAACACTCCCCCTGATCCTTCTGGTGAGGGAGTGAGTGAGCAGCTGTGTGGGGCTCAGGTAATGACTGGGGTTAAAGCACTACACAGACACATTTTGATATCAGCTATTGGAATGTGAGAAATTGTTGAGATGAATAGGCACATTAGTTTAAAAAAACAAAACCACCTCATGATTATAGGAGCAACACCAGGCACTATTGCTCTGCAGGTGGCAGTTCATGTCTACAAGAATAAGTGAGAAACTCCACCAGGGAGAGGAGCTGGCACTGACCTCCCTTCCCCAGGGGCTGCCCAGTTAAAGCCCATTCATGGATAGGAAAACAGAAGTAAGGGGTTGAGACAGACTTCAGTGGAATTTCATATCCTTCCCATAAAATGCTTTTAGCCTTCCTGACTTCAAGGAAACCAGTCAGTAATACCAAAGGGTAAAAGAGAAGTAGCCAAAAGGAGCAAAACTGTGGAGGAATCAGGCCTGTGTTAGCAGACAGAAAGGTAATCAAGTGGGGGTTGTGGAGGTGAATAAGTGGATGTCACCTTGGCAACCTGAGATAAACTCATGAAAAATGCAATGGGTTCGCTATGAGGGAGGAAATGACAATCAGATTAATATTAAATCAAGATGCTTTTATTTAGTGTAGGTAAACAATTCTCCAAGTGATGTGAATGCATAAAATATTTCTTTATTCTCTTTCCAGAGTGGCCTGCACATTCTAGGTATCACTGACCTGTCAATGTGTTAAACAGGTCAGAGAAATAGGCATGGAAACTGATGCTGATTAAATTTTATTCTGCTTTCTGGTAAGCAGTACTACAGTGGAGCTGTTGCCGATTTTATTACTTTTTAATTTGGTTTCCTAATCTGATTTTTTACCTGAGAGAAGAGGGCTGAAAACAAAAGGTTTATGATTAATATTTGATGGAAAAGTTAGGAAGTGTTTTTCCAGTTCAAGACCTGCATTTTCTTTTATTATTTTAAGTTCTGTCTGTAGATTCTTTCTGGACTTTTAATTTGTCTCACCGAGATTTGGGAGCTTGATGAGAAATTCTCTCTTCCCTTCTGTGCACTCAATGTGAGACTCACAAAACGGGATTTTCAGTCTGAAAAACAATCCAGAATAAAATATAATTTCAGTTCCTGAATAGTTGAGGCTGAGGCAAGATTTCCTGCACTGTTGAGTTAGGGAACACCAGCTTCCTGACAAAAACTGATTCCACTCAATATCCTGGTGATAACCAGGTAAGGAACTCAGTTGTGTGAAATCCCACAGAAAAATTGTCATATATAAATTCATAATAAAGTTTTGTCATCAACATGGAAGACATTGAAACATAAATAACATCAATTTCTTAAACTTTAGGCATAGTTTTTTCTTTGTTCGTATTGTTTTCTGACCTTTCCCTGTATTTTAGCATCTGCCTCTAGCACTCATTATGCATTCACATCTGGATACATGCATGCACTGGTTTTTTAAATGCATTTATGAGTTAATGTTTTGACTCTTTGAAATTCTTAACAATGTTATATCCCATTGTTTCACTACAACTATTTCTTTGTTACTTTTATAGACAGTGAACTCCTTAGCTTAGCTGTAGTAGGTTTTCCTTTAAGCTGAACAAGAAAAAATACTGACGGAATGGAAATGACTGGCTAAACAAGGTACTGCCCTGCAGCAAAAAAAACCATTAATAATTAATATGTATTATGGCCAAGAATTTACATAGTCATATTTTAGACCTACTAAAGGATCAATTTTGACTGTTTATTCTGATTCTCTGAGACAGGTCAGGAATTTTGTTTACAGTTTCCAAGTCTATCCCAAGAATTGCAGAATCAAGCTAGGCTGTTAGTGAGCAATCTTTCAGTGATTTTCAACTAAAGCTGGAAAACTATGAGAACCGCAGCACAACGCCTTAGGTTAAAAAACCTCACATCTACCATTTTTCACTTAAATATGCATTTGAAGTTAAACAGAATTATAGACTCCAGTTCAGAAAAGTATCTCTGTTGAGAACAGCATTTGACTCTCTGTAAAGACTCATACAATGATGATTTTACACTTAATCCTTATATTAAAAGTACTTCATCTTGCTTATCAGACTTGACAAACCATAAATTTTCAATCCACTGGTAGCACTCCACACCCAAAGGAAAGCATCTGCATATGTCTTTCCTTGGAAATAATATTTGAAGTTGGGATGCATCCTTTAGTGTAGGCAATAGCTTCCTCTTAGACACAAATTGATTGCCTCTGGCAGGGAAAAGGCACACTTCAAACGAGTAAATATATAATAAAAGCAGTTGATTGAAATACTGGTGAATTTTCTATAACATCCATTTTGCAGGGTTTTTTAACAGACCACATAGTTTTGGAGTATTTTCTTAAACTAAGAGACAGGCCTGGGACTGAAGCTTGCAGTTGTGTACACCAGCTCTTGCACTAACCTTACCAGTGTATTTATAGCCAAACTTGCTGTGGGGTTGCTTCCAGGCACCAAAGAACATCCCCTCTCTCCAGAGACATTTTTTTCCCCCAAAACACACCAGGGAATAATTTATTGCTCACCTCCTCACCTCTGTGTTTGGTCCATGACAGGTTCCAGCACCATGGCTACATTGAGTGCTGACTACATGACCCAGGAGAAAACCATCATTTTCCACATCCCCACAAAAGATTGGGGCAGAATCTCTTCTGGCTCCCACTTTACATCTTGTCTGAGGACCAATAAGCAAAACAGGAGACAAAAACCCAATCTTGGTCTCAGAGGAGGATTTTACTTCTTTTGCATTGGACAAGCTAAATTCAGCAAGGAAGCTATGTCAACATCGGAATAAAGTGGTGCCAGGAATGGTGTAGCAGGATGTTGAAAATGAGGAAAATTGCAGCTTTTGCAGCAGCTGACAGTCCAGCTCTCTTAACACACAGTCAGATTGTTTGAAGTTAGTAACTACAGTTGTATCAGCAGCAGGGGGGCAAACATACCTGCTTGATTCTTCACAAATCTGACCCCTGACTTCACTTACTTATTTGAGAGCAAATATTGAAGGTAAGACTTAGTATGAGTACACACTAATGAAAATTTTTTATTATTTTACATACTAATGGCAAGAATCTCACCCAGACAACAAATTAATGAGGAATTTAACCTGGAGAAGCTGGAGAAAAAGTACATCATCTCTGCTTAGCATTTTCTTCAACTTTTCATCTGCTCATGTCATCAGAACATGCCAGCTGGTAAAATATTTTAGTTCATTTTTATACCCCTAGCAAGCAGTACTATTATAAAGAAAATATGTATATACCAGTATCTTAAAAGCTGCTATGTTGGCATGCATTCCTGGAGATCTTTCCCCTCTTTAATGTTAGTTCAGTCTTACAAATGCTGAGTTAAAATGTCTGCAAGTCTAGTCTTAATAATAGGAGATTCAACTGTTGTCATAAGGAATTTCAAATAATACTAGAGCCAGAAATTTTATTTTAAAAACACACCCACAAAAAAAAATTAAAGAAAACAAGAGCACTATTTACAGCCTCATCTTACTTTTTGCAGAAATATTTTTTGTGTATCAGAGGCTCATAATCCCAACTTGCCTTCATAAGTCATTACAAATGATGAGAGACCCTTCCAACAGAACCTCCTGTCCATCCAGGCAGGTCAGGATGGCCGAGCGGTCTAAGGCGCTGCGTTCAGGGCGCAGTCTCCCCTGGAGGCGTGGGTTCAAATCCCACTTCTGACAGCTTCTTTATGCCACCCAGCTGAGTGGTGCAGCTGACACACCTGAGGGACAGGAGCCATCCGGAGGGAACCTGGATAAGCTCCAGAAGCGGGACCATGGGAAGTTTAACAAGACCAGGTGTTGGTGCTGCAACTGGCTCCGGACAGCCCCCTGTCTCAGCACAGGCTGGGGATGAACAGATCCAGAGCAACCCTGCCCAGAAGGACTTGGGGGTGTTGGTGCGTGAGAGGCTGGACATGGCCCAGCAGTGGCACTCACAGCCGAGAAAGCCAAACTTGTCCTGGGCTGTATCCAAACAGCCTGGGCAGCAGGGTGATGGAGGAGTTCCTGCCCCTCTGCTCCACTCAGGTGAGACCCCACCTGCAGTGCTGCATCCAGCTCCGGGGTCCCCCACAAGGAAGGACATCACCCTGCTGCAGCGAGTCCAGAGGAGGGGCCACCAAGTTGAACAGAGGGATGAAGCCCGTTCCAATGAGGAAAGGCTGAGAGAATTGGGATTCTTCAGCCAGGAAAACAGAACGCTTTAGGGTAACTGGATTGTGTCATTCCAGGACCTGAAGGGTCCTTACAGGAATGATAGAAGACTATTTACAAGGATATGTAGTGATGGGACAAGGGGGCTCAAACTGAAAGATAGTAGGTTTAAGTTAGATGTTAGGGAAAAAATTATTTCCTGTGAGTGTGGTGAGGCAGTAGAACAAGTTGGACAGGGAAGCTGGGGAAGCCCTATCCCTTGAAATGTTAAAGGCCAGGTTGGACGGGATCTGTGCCACCTGATTTAGTTGAAGTTGTCTCTGTTCATGGCAGGGGAGTTGGATCAAGATGATTTTAAAGGTCCTCTCCCAACCTAAACCATTCTGTGATTCTTTGTGTCTGTGAATAAGGAAATATAAGTAGAGAAATATAATAATATAGGAAATCTTTGAGCTTTTCTGCATTATTATAATGAGGGATTTTTAGGGCTATAAGACTGTGCAGAAAGATTACAGAAGTTGTATCACTTCCTATTACAATTGCATAGAGATTAATAAACGTGTGGTCATGATTATGCTATACAGAATAAATCATGAATATTTATTTTTTTCCTCAGCCTGATGGAAGAAGAAGACTGAATAATGAAAAATTGTATATTTTTCATGCAAAATGACTTTCTGATAAAGCTGTAGCAATACAGATGCAGAAAAATTGAGTATCACTTGGATCCTGCAGGCAAAGAGGAATGTAACTTGGGCGGGTTTTTGCAGATGAAATTGCCATGCACTATGGTAATGACAACACTACAAGGTGCTCTATGGGTTTCTCTCCAGTCTGGCACAATCACTCCCTCTCAATAGGCTCCTGAATGCTATTCCTGGAATATAAATCAAGCTACATTAGAACAATCTCTTTGCAATGCTCCTACCTACATCACAGATGGGGTTTTTTTGAGTTAGATTTCTATGGCCTAGAAATGCATGGTAATTGAGAGACCTGGTCTTCTTGCTTGTACAGAGCTTGGGAGGCAGGAGGAGGAAAGCAGAAGCCTTGGTGTGATGAAAGAGCCTGGCACATGGGCTGGGATATATTTTGTTATCAAACACAAGATTTCCATTCAGAGAATGATGAAATTATGGCCATCCATGTAAGGGGAAGATGCCATCTAACCTCACAACTAAAGTAACAGGATTGTCTGTAACCCTTCCAGGATGCTGGCATCTTGCATGATGCCTAACTGATTTAGAAGTACCTAAAGAACTTTTAAACAAACCTGTTTAAATCGCATCAATATAAAATTCAGGGCTACTTTTCTCCTTTATGTTCTCCTGCATTCCCTTGTGGAGTTAAGGTGATCAAGAAAAGTGATTACTGCACACTCAATTTGACAATTTTTATGAATTAAATTTTATGAATTAAAATTTACTCCAAGCAGTTTGGCAGTAGCTGATGCTCACCTATTGCCTCTGCTAGTCCTAGTGATGTTAATGTAACTTGCAGTTAAGATACAATAGAAATGCAGACTCTGCCAAAATCTTCATAGAGAAAAGTTTTTTCTAAAGTTTGGGAAATTCTCTTGGGTTGTTTGGGTTTTGTTTTTTTTTTAGTTGGTTTTCTATCTTTTTCTCTTTTTTTGTGGATTTTTTGGGGGGTTTGTTGGTGTTGTTTTGTTGGGATTTTTTTTAAGAAACATTTCATAGATCAAAAATTCAAGGAGCCTGGCATACTCTGTATTTGGACTTCAATGTTTCACTGCTTAAGGGAGATTTGAAGCCAGGAAGTTGAAAGCCAAGTTTAATCATATGTTCTTTGGTAATTTCAATTGATCTGTGATGTCACTTGGGATATATACATTGATTACCCTTGAAGTCCTGTTTCTTGAGCAGCCCTATATGAAATTCAAAATAATCAATGTTCATATTAAATTATTATAGCACAACTAGAGAGGCTGGGAGCTGTTTTATGAAGTACTAGGTTTTCTTCTTTTTGTCATCACCTGTTACTTCTTTAGGCATTATTTTTTTCTGCATTATTATTTCTCTTACTGCAGGGAGACATGCTGGCCTTTCTTTCATTTCTTTCAGCCTCCTTCTCAAAGAGGAATCATCCAGTTTTCCTGGCTCTTCCCTCCAGATACTCCCTGAAGTATTCATATTTTACATTGCGCACACATTCATTCCTCTATTTTGCCACATGCTTTTCTATATCTGTATGACCTTCAGCCAGGCTCTCAACAGGGCTGTCTTGCTCAAGCTGAAATACCTGTCAAGGATTAATGTGGAGGAAGAAACCTAAAGGAGACAGAGTTGGTTCAAAATCTGTTACTTTGGATGAGATCAGCCACAGTAACTAATTTCTACTCTGTGCAAAAGGGGATTGAAGAAGGATTAGGCTACACCATACCCCAGTGTTTTTCTGAGTGTGAGAAGCATAGGCAAGCATGGCTTCTGCAGCCTGATTGCAGAATAAAATCATTATGGACTGCTACACTGGAATAGTGTGCTCAAACTTTTAAAAAGCTCCCTCATTTACCTTGAAGCTCTTGAGCAATGGTTTAATTACAGAAAAACTTTCTAAAAAGAAACCTGATAACAGAGATTTGTATTATCTAATGGAACAAGAACCAATGAAAGAAGGTTTACTGCTATGCTTTTATCCTGTAACTAGGAGTATGATAGAATTTTTAATAATGACCCAGATTAAGCAGAAGTATTTGCTTTATATTTCTAGTTGGTTTTTGATGATATATAGACAATTAATTCATTGCCTCTGATGATAATAACACTAATCAAATAATAAGCTGAAACAGAAAATACTGGAAAATTTTAAATAGCAAAGAATATGCATTTAGGAGCTTCACAAACGCTTAACTCTCTAAGCAATTTATGTTGACTTCAAAAGATCTTTAGAAATTTGTACAATTCCCTTGTTTTGAAATTTAAAACAAGTAAAATGTACAACAGTCTGTATCAGGCTTGTCAATCTTACACTGATCTGAATCATATAAAGAGCATGTTAGTCTGATAATAAAAAGCTGAAAGAGTAGAACAAATAACAAAACATCCAGAAAACAGGTGTTTTATAAGTTTAGTATAAACAAATAAAACTGATGGAATATGCCTGCCACTTTCTAAAGCTTTCTAATAGGTGCAAAATGATGTCTTGATAAGTAGAATAAGGTTGGAGGCATAAAGTCTAGAATAAATAACATAATGACACTTGCACAACAGAGAACAAGAGCTGCAGATGTGTCCTGAAATGAGTCTACAAGTGATGACTGATACTCAGCTTGAAACAAAAAAGGATTAATGCAGTCTTCCAATGTTTAAACAACGAAGTACATTGTTGGAGTTTCTGTCCTTATTACTGTGGTTACTTGCTACTGAAACACCACTGGCTCAAGGAAGATGACAATGTAGGAAAACACTGGAGAAGAATACAGGAATAAATAAGGACAGAGAGAGAATGTTTTAGGGAAATGTGTAAATCTTTGATTCAGTTGGAAAGTATGTCTTCAACTTGGTTTCATATCAAAACCTGATGGCTCATATACGTCACCTTAAGAGAAAAATTATTGATAGGGGTGAACTAGTTGGAAGTTTTGGTGAATTTTCTATTGCCAGAGTATTTGTGTTTCAAGGTTGAAAGTTCTCAGCAATATTGTACCGTTTGATGGCTTGCTGCCTTAAAAGCTGCAGTCCCCAGCCATATTAAGCTTAGGAGAACAAGTACTTTAAGTGACTTCTGAGAGGTAGGAATATTCTTTGTCTTACAGCAAATGCAACTTGGTTCATGGTGACAGAGGTCACTGGTTTTCTGCAGAGATTCTGTCTCCATCACAACTCCTGTGTCTCTATTTCTTTCAATATTTAAAAAGAATAAGGCCTTGTAGACCCATATGAGCCGGGATACCTCCTAGTACCTCTATACACATCCCTGGATTTCCATAGATAGCTATTAATCCAAATCTGCATGGAATGGCTTAGTCTAAGACACACTGCAGGCAATGAATGAGTTCATTTCAAACCTCTGTGAAATAATGCCCATATTCACAATAAAAATACATAAAAGTGTATTACACTTTTACACTTCTAGCATATTTAAACTGATACTATTAAAGGGTATTGAAGGAGTAGGTTTATCTAGAAAAATCAGATTAACATACTTCAGCATTTTCAATTTCCTTTGTGAGTCTTAGATATATTGTTCTTGATGCAGATAAGTAGAACAAGAAAGTGTAAATTTTTACCTGCACGCTACCAAACCACATTTTAAATCATGACGTCAAAGACCTTGGTGAGATAAAAAAGCACCACAATTTATTAACAAGAACGTAAACACCATGTCATTTAAAAGATTTAAAGAGAAGGGAAGGATAAAAGCTGATTTTTTCTTACTCTGTTTTGGAGAGGTCAGAGGAAACTTCATCTTGGCAAAAGATAAGCAGCAATGTTACTCTGAGTGCTCTGTGTTTAGTCATATATACAAGCTAACCATGCCTTTGAATTAATTTGCAGCACTTTCTTATTAGTCCATCTCCTTTCAAAGGCATAATGGTCATATCAGCTTTTAGATTCAAAGTGCCAATATACTTAAGGGTTTCAGTCAGATCTTAATTGATATTTCCAAGAGGGATATATGAGTATCTCAACGTGGCCCATGCCTGGACCCATCACATGAATATTGCAGGCACACATTATTCTGCTCAGGGAAACAGAAAATGTAATTGCTAATTGTTCATAAAAGGTTTATTTAACTAGAATTTACATTTCTTTAAGTGACACTCCCAGACAGAGAATGCCTAAGCTCTCATTAAAGCACATTTTATTATCAATTAGTTAGTCCATATTAATTAATTTGTCAAAGACAATTTCTTTCCCATCATTCCATACTTTTTGTATAATAGCTTGTCTACATAAACTAGGTTTTTGTCTACTGTACTGAAAAGTGGCTCTTTGGAGACAGGCAAAGAATAAATTTTTATAAAATCCAGATTATATTCAATAATGCCAAGCCAGCCTTGTTAATACCAAACTGAATGGAGAAAGTCTAGCATGAGGAAATTGATTATCCTGATTCTAGACTCTGTGTGGCCTCAAATTAAAATGCCTGAAACAGGGCCATACTTCTCACTATGCACACACTTCTGCTGCAGTAAGCACTTCTGCAGCAAACATAATTCAGAGAAAATGAGATCCCATACTGAACCATTTTACATCACAATGTAACATGCAAGGCCAAGAAGAGGTAAGGAGTATTATTCCAGTAAGAAATACTGCAAATAATTTTCACAGCAAACTCCAAGCTTCCCTGGCCACAGGAACATCTTCATGTTCTTAGCTCGTTCCTGTGAATCAACATCTTTCCTTTATAGGATGGCAAAGAGAAATGCAGGATTCCTAATATCCATTTTGAATAAACTGTTTTTCAACTAGAGACCTGTGGGTTATTAACCCAAGCATTGTTTTTACAACTGAAAAGAAATTAAGTAGACAATCTAGAAACACTGAACACTGAAGGCATTTCTAGCTCTGCCAGAAACTCAGGAAGACATCTATATCATTGAGAATATACAGGATTATAAGCAAATTCCCTTTTCGCCTGTACTTGCCAGGCAAAACTTCAAGTACAGGTGATCTTCCAGTCCTTCCTGCTCCTTCCCTTCAGCTGCACAGGGAAGAAGGTCTTCTGGAAGGGTGGAGAAGTTTGCTGGCATGGCAGTGGCATAACTGCTCCTCACTTCTGAATGACATCATCACAGTATTCTTTGGTTCTCATAACTAACTTTTTATTTCCCATACCTTTCCAGGGGATTCCTGAGAAGAACAATTCCTAGTTTTTTAAGGGAAAAAGTTGGGCTGAGAACTGCAGGATTTGGTTAGGATAACTGGGAATGAGATAAGCTCTGTGGAAATTGCTTTTAAATTATCATTTAGTGTGATGTAAGATTGGCTTTTTCTCCTTTCTCTTTTCCCACTTATGTTTTGGACACTTGATAATTACTTAAGTGAATGAATACAAAATACCAGTTTGTGGTTTTTAGTCTGCCAACATAATAAATGTTCAGAGTTTTATTTTTAATCTTTAACAATAGAAAACCAGATGGCATGAGTAATTCTGTAGTGTTCTGTGCACTATCAGTACTCTCAAAGTGCTATGGACCTTCATGGTATTACCATAACCTCACAGCAAGGGGAAGGGGAACATCATGGCAGCTGGGCTGGTGTTTTTGTTACTGTGTAGTGGCCATTTAAGCATGCACAGAAACAGAGGAAGACTCATCCACATGTGTAGGTTGGAAGAGACCCCTGAGGGCACCTTCTCGATCCTCCTGCTCAAAGCAGGACCTGTGAAAGCTGTTTGACCAGGGCCACACACAACCAAGTCCTGAACTTCTCCAAGGATGGAGATCTCACCAACTGTTTGAGTCACTCTCCCTCAGTTCTTGGCCACCTTCAAAGTGATAATATTTCTTGGTGACTAATGGGAATTTCCATTAATACAGGACCCACAATCCTTATCAGTATTGACTCTCAGAGATATTTTGGGGAGCCTTTGGGGAGCCTGTGACACCTAGAGACATGATACTTTGTCTACTCCAGAAGGAAACTGTGAGAGACATAGCACAACTAGGAAAAATTCTGCTTGATTCAAGTCTGTTCTCCTTTCTGGGAAGTGTTGAGCCAGTCTTCAGCAAGTCACCTCTCCTAGTTTTGGTGTTTTGTTGTGGGGGGTTTTTGTTGGGTTTTTTCTGGTTTCCAACTCTTTATACTTTCTAGACCTAGTTATTCCCATCGCTCATCAATGGTTTGGTTTGAAGTTGAAAACTACTCAAAAGCCTGAAGTCAGCATTTTGCTCCTTTTGGACACCAGGAAAACAGTGACAATTCTTGACCTGGTCTGCATGGCAGTACAGCTTCTGTGCTTAGTTGTAGCTCCTTATTCCATGGAACTTTGTGCTTTGTGCAGAAGACAGCATCAGTTCAATCAAATGGAAGGTCACCTAAGAAGTTGAAAGGTGTGTGCTGTCTTCCTTAGTTGTGGCTTGTGGGCATAAAAATAATGAGGAATTATTATAATAGCCAAATGAACTGGAATTACAGCCTGACCAAGGGAGTTCTTTTTTTCTATACACAACTCATTTCATAATTGTTTTCCATACAAATGTGATGTGAACTTGGCCTTCATCAACCACAGGCTGTATTTCTTGCTCCTTCTCTTGGAAAGTGCAGAACATGTTGTTCCAAGTTTGCAAATTTAAGTATAAATTCCTTTTGAAAGGAAATAGGTCTGATGTTTCATGTCTTGCCTGTCACTGAAGAACTTTCTTTTGCTTCTGATATAAGTGCTGTCTTATGTATCAGTAATCTTAAATGATCAGGCTTGCTGGGGTTTTGTTCAAAGCACTTAAGGATAGAAGTAGATTTGCAGCATATTTCCTGCTCTAGTGATTTCCATTGTAAAAGACACATTGCCTGTAAAGCCACATAAATTTTAATTCAAAATCCACTTTAGTAACCGTAGACACTTTGAATTCTTTTAACTCATGAGTACAAACAATTCATCCTTGTACTCTTACATGACATTTCTGCCACTCATTTCCTGTGTTTTTATTCCATAATAGCTTTTGTTTTCCCTGTTGCTTCCCCCTAGCAATTTATTTTGTTTATCCTTAAGTGCATCCAAAGATCTGATCACAAAACTCAAATAGCAGCTCTGCCAATTAGAGGGAAACAACTTCGATGTGCCTGAACACAGATGAAACAAAAACAAATGTGGGTACTTACAAGAAAGGGTATCAAGCAGAAAGTTAAACAGCCAGGAAAACAATCTTTTGGTTGTGAAATGACAAATTTAGGGTCATGAAGAAATCGCATCCTGTGAAGACAACATAAAATAAACAAATATGATGAAATGGAGCAAGATTAAGAGGCAAAAGAAAGTAATTAGTTTTTAATTCAGGAAAGTTTTTCCTAAAGGACATTTACATAGGGAGACGGTGTATAATACTAAATAGTAAATTTGTCAGTAGCAATAAACATCTGGCAATCTATGATCAGTATATGTCAAAATAAATAACTTGGAAAGTATGATTTGGGAAAAAATTAGATTTTTAACAAAATTAATTAACAAATCAATGAATACTGATAGAAATTTTTAATTTAATTCTTTTTCTTTTCTATGTAATCCTTTGATAATGTTTCAAAATAAGGACATTAAAAATGCATTTATTGAATGTTTTACAAAAGTAAAATATTCTTACAATCATTTCTTATCACCAATGCTCTATAGGCAGGGCCTCATCCCAAAGCCATTTTAGGCTTTGTCTCTATGGATTTTTATGGTGGTGGAATTCCTAAGTTCCCTTGAGCAGACATTCCCAGTCTGGGACATATGTCACCAGTAGAAAGCTTGTTGGCTTCCTAGTCCTAATCCTCCTACTTGACACAAGTAATATAACAGCAATAAAACACAAAAATTGCTGTCCAAGTGTTCTTGTTGAGTCTTTGTTCCATTTTCATCAAAATTAATAAGTGGTACATTCCAGGAATGAAACCAAGGTTAAAAATTAAGATGGGAAATGATATAAAAATGGATAGGAAAAATGGGCACTATTTTATTCAGAGAAGGAAAGGGAGGAGAGCAAAAAAGATCCCCCAGATAATCTTTTCTTTCTATATTAAGGCAAGAAGATCCCATCATTACCACAGATTTTCACATATTCCTAGCACAACACATCAAAAATTACTGGAAAAGCATATTCTATTTAGTGCATTGACAAGTTTTGACAGGAGTCAGAAATATTAATCCCTCCTCATTTGTAACAGTAAATAGATTGTCCACATGTTAGTGTAGCTCCACACAAAATTCATCCGAAAACTGAACAGTTCTGGATGCAGTTTTTGGCTGAGATTTCCCATATGCCATAAGCAGAGGCCATGAATTGTGTCTGAATGCTTGGCAAATGCCAGACCACGGGAGTCAAATGGGTGGAAAGGCTTCTTTTGGCCCCATCACAGCTGCTGATTTGACAGATGGAAATACTTTGTTTTGAGAAGGGCCTTGTGACATATTCAGTTTTGACAACTGCCAGAGGCAGAACTGAATGATCTGACCCAGGCTGTCAACTTCCATCTTTTTATTGACACCATTGGGTGAAATATGGGACATGTGAGCAAAGTACAGACATGCTGGGAGATTCAAGGTAGACCAATTAGTGATGTTATCTGAATTTCTGACTTTTCATATGATATTAGGTAATTCAAAACAATAATTTTTTAGAATGCTTAATTTTTTTTTTCTCATTGGACACCTCAAGTATTCACTTCCCAAGCTGTCAATTTGTTGTGCACTTTGTGATCACAGTGACAATACACAGCTTTTGGGCAGAGTCTAATTTGTTTCATGTTGATATAAACTGGGAATCATTTATTTGATGTCAACAGAATGACAGCAAGACAACCCAAGTAACTGGAACCAGGTTCTCGGCAATGACTTTGTGACTTGATGATGGCAACCAAATAAGACATACTCAGACTCCCAAAATTGTTATGAACAACAGTCAAATTAGTTAAAAGCGGATTCCAGAAGCTGAGATGAGCGAATTGTCTCCATCCATGTTTTATGGCATAGGGGACAAATATTTAAATGAAAGAAAAATATCTTTTAAAATGTGAATCCTTTTCTGCAGTTAAAGAAAATTCACATTACCCATCGTAATGGAGAATATTACAAATTCAAATCACTTGAGGTCTATGTCCTCTGTTTTTATGGCTTTTATGTCATTTTTTCAAGTGTTTTAAATACAATAATTGCTATAGAAGTGTCTGTGACTCTCTTTTCCACACCCTCCTTCCCCATCCCCACTCACCCCATGCTGGTTACTGCTCCCTCAGTTCACCCAGATGAACTGACTTTCTGATACTACTCAATAGATTTGCTTAAGGCTCCAAGAGCTTCTTGGAAGAGCACCCAGGGCTTCTTGGAAAGCCGCTGACTCCACTCTGAAGCTGTAAAGGAGTGCTTACCTAGCTTCTCATGATGGCTGAGATGAGGGTGGAAATTTGTATCTATAAAGAGAAGATGGATAATCCTAAATTTCATGTACAATTTTCATCTCAGTGATTTGAGAAAAAGCCTTATTCCATGCTTCCTCCAGACCAAAAAACTTGAAGTTATACTGCCCAAGTTATCAGCACAACTGTTAGAAATGGAGTTATCTGTATTATTTGTCCTGCTTCCTACTCACCAGACTGCACCGTTTCATGTCTCTCAGGAAATTTTACAGAACTAAACTAAGAGTGGACCCTTCATGCAAGCATAAAAGTCCCCTGAACAAGTACAATGAGCCAAAGGGCAGCAGCAGGTCACCTCACCTCCAGGCAGGTGGCTTTGGAGATCTGTGTCTTCATACTCGTCTGTAAGAACACCTTCACAAGCATTAGGAATAGTCCACAAACAATTATGCCTTTCTTTTTGAGGCTGTTCTTAAACTTCCAAATGATTGTGGGGGGAAGCAGGGGTAACTAAGGGACATGGAGCTGTGCTGAGAAGATGGGAATCCTGCAGATTGTGCAGAGGTCTCAGCAGAGAAGCAATATAGGCAACTGTGCTTGAGCTCTTCTTGGATTTTTAGGGGCACATAACGCTAATGTGTAATTATAACAGCCTGAGACTGAGCAGCTGCAATACATTCCTGAAAGGCAGTAAGGGGAAGACATCCTTTCTGATATTTTAAAGCTCTTATTAATTATCACTGATCACCTTTGGCGGTAAATAGGTACAACTTTTACTGCTGTCCCTGCTCTAGGTCTCATGAGTGTGTGTGGGATAGACTACGGATGGGAGGGTGGAAGGAAGAGTATCACTCTGAATGCCACGGCTTCTTGAGAGTGCTCATGGTGAAATGCAGCAGTGAGCGACAAGCTGAGTATCAGGGTGTCACTGTAAATCAGATCTCCAAGCATGCCCCATAAGCAGTCAAGTCAAAAGAAGAGGGATCAAAACCTCAGAAACCTAGTTCAGGAGTTTTAATCTACGTTGAGAATTTGGGCAGAGCCGTATGAAACTGACCCCAAGAGCTTATCCTAGAGCAGCAGGCAGCCAAATCCAATACTGTAAGGCTGCCAGTGCTGTTCTAGGATGGATCTATGTCTCTCGCCCACTTTCTACCATTGTATTCCATGAGGATTTTGTTTGTCGTAAGTTTCCACTAAAACCAGCCATCAAAGCCTGATCTCCACCCATAACCAAACCTCCTGCACAATCCTAGGAAGTCCATCAATTCCCAGAAGCTCCAGATTTCCAGCAAGCACGCCATGGGTCTGGTCCAGGGAAGCATCACTGACCAACACGTGTGGAAGAGCTAGGCTGTACATTCCCAGGAAGTGAGACCCCACAGCACCTGTGCAAAGGCAATTCGCAGTTGCTCCCCTGAGGCAGAGGTGGGCATGCCTGGGGTTCTGTAATTCAGTGAAACCTAACTTACAGAAAACACACAAAATAAATTAGCCGTGTTGATGTTAATGCCGTGGAATAGAATGTATGTAAAGTATGCAAGAGACGCAAAAAAATCTTTCCACAAAAAAGCCTCATTAAAACAAGTCAGATTCCTCATATGAGGTCTTCATAACCCTCACACAAGCAGCAGCTTCTTTGTTCCCCTTTGTTTTACTGACTTATTGCTGGAATGCACCAGAGTGCTTTAAAATCACTTTCTATTGTCAATACATGATAATCTCACACCATCAAGCATAGCTACCTTTCACTATTCACCATCTCATCAACATCTTTAACATGTTGACCTTCAGAGAAAAAACAGATCAGAGTTTAAGGTCAGTGATGAAATTGACAGTAATCAATATAAGATTTACAAGCAAATTAATTGGAGAAATAGGTATCATTACTGGAAAATGCATAGATCACTTAAATTGTTTCAGACAAGCATTTTATTGGTTTTAAAAGACAGAGGAAAAGAAGTCAGAGGCAAAATGAGGTTGCAGCATTAAAAGCAAGCCAAATGCAGCTGGACTTATAAACAAAGCTGCCAAAAGCACTGGAGGCCCCTGTTTTAATTGCATGAATATCCAAACGTCATGTTTGGCGTAAAGCATTCAAGGAGTATCCTCAAAAGTCCACTTTTGGAGAAGAGGCAGAAATTATAAGTCTGGGCTTTACTCACAACATATTAGTCACAGGGGTGTTGCATAATTTTGCTTCAGACAAAGACTGAGCAAGTGGGGAGAGAAACTCATGCATTGGCTTTTTGATGAAGTTGAATGCATGAAGGGGTAATTTTCTAAGATGCAAAACTCTAACTAAAGGGATTGGAATAGCTACATCAATTGCCTTTTCTGGTTTGAGAGGTTACTGAGCCACATTTTATAGGGTCAAGCAGATTTTGTCCACACTACCTCTAACTAGAATGAGAAAAGGTAAATTTTATCCACTGGAAATCAGAGGATGTTGGTCGGTTTGGGCCTTTTAAGGAGACAAAAGTACAGTGAAAGTTTTGATTTGGAGAATATAAGGATGCAGCAAGTTTCAAAGGTATGCAGTTCTACTGTCTACATCTTGAGTTTACACAAAAAAACATATTTTGTTTTGAGAAACTGACTTTTTGACCAAAAAAGAGAAATAAAAGTGGCTTCTTTTGCTGGAAGATTTATTTGAAACTTAGGAAAAGCCACAATGTGGAATAAAGGGGAAATAGAAAGGGAAGGATCAGGCCTGCTATGTTTGTGGAGCCTTGGAAGGAAAATTTAATATTCTTGGGAAAAGAATATCCTGAGGAGTTGGTCAGACCCAAATTCTCTTGTCTGTATACATGAAGTGTCATTAAATAGTTTGGGTTGGAAAGAATCCTAAAAGTGTTTTAG